TACCTGAGCAGAAGTTTTCTCCTCCTCCTCCCGAGCCTTCTGCTTATTCCTTCTAAGAAAATAAGGTTTAAAAAAAAGTTTCTGCAAACACCACAAATTTTACGATAAATGATGAGAGAATTTCGCCAAACTGTTCAATAAACCAAACAAACACCTGTCACATTTAGCTGAATTATAAATAATTATCTTATCTGCTTCCCATAGTTTCTCTGCCTCTGGAATATTTTTGGTAATAAAAACTGATACATGGAGATCAAAGTCTAGTAACTAATGCTACAGCTTACATTTACATCAATGAATTTACAAGTGAAAAGTTTCAGAATTAATTTATTTATTTTCAATAAATTTTATCCTGCTTATCCACATGCTCTGCAAGTTGAGCACAAGACAACGTCCAAATCAGAAGAAAATTATACAGAAAAACATCATTGAAAGAAAGAGACAGCTTTAAAGATCTTTCTTGTCCCTGCATAGAAGTTTTTTATGAAAGGTGAGTAGCAGAAAATAAAAAAAAGTTGACAACCATGAGAACTAGAAAAGGGGATTCAAGGAAAAAGTATTCGTGCACACTACAACTAATTTATATTCTTCGACGAAGCTAGTTGTGCACATTATTTTGTGTCGTTTGTTTAAACTTAAAAAAAGTATTTTTAAATAAGTGCTTTTTAAAAATGCAATTCTTTAAGAAGCAGGTAAGAGTTGCTTTTTAAAAAAACAGAAAACTGCTTATTTTAAAGAAAATAAGTTTAGACAACCCCAGTAAAATAAAATAAAATAAAAAAGTGCTTATTTTATTAAAAAAAACTCTTTTTAAAGGAGAAAAAATTTAAACAATCAGACTCTTTATTCCCCCACTCACACCCCAGGTCACACTCTTTAGCACAAGGGGAAACTGAGGAATCCAAATGAGCTAGCATCATTCCGATTCAGAGGAAACTAAAATACCACAACAAAATATTTTCCACTTAATTGGATACGAACAATAAACTGACTGCACACATTTATAGTTATAGGTCTTCAGTCTTTAAAAAAATTAACTGGCGAGAGAGTTCTCAGATAAAAAGAAACAAGTTATTGACATGAAGTTGATTTTATTTCACCTTTAGAGTGAAGTAAAGAGATGCAGGAACAACAAATGCTCCAGTAGCAAACACCGGGTTCAGATGCCTTGTCAGCAAAATCTGCAAGAAAAAGCTCATTTATGTTACAAAAGTCAAGCAAACTAGTTTAAATGGAAATATTACTTGTTTATAATAATATTACGTTATCTAAGTAGTTGCTTAGCAAATACATGCAATCCCAAGTTAATTAGAATACCAAATATCATATAGGCATCCAAATTCTAAAGCAAGAGTAGGGATCAAAGCCAACTAATAGAAACATCATATATGTGTGTGTGGATACATACATATACACACACTTAAGACTTTTCAACAAAATAAACTCATGTCAATATTAATAAAAGGGGTTGTATATAGTGCTCATAGGCACATAGTGTGAATGCCTTGTGTGCATGTTTGATTCAGTTCATTTTAGAAAATAATTGCATATTTTTGTCAGCTTTTCTGAGAGAACTTGTGAAAAATAAGTGATTATTTCTCCAAAACCATCTTATGAAATATTGTGCATGTTTATTGCTTAGCAAGTATAAGAAGGCATTCTTCTACATACACAGATCATCCGTGCATCTTCACAATGGCGAACATAAACGAACTGTCTTACATAGTATATCTGAATAAAGGTCAAAGCCCGAAATTTTATCTAGTATTTATCAGGCTAAGCATGTAAAGAAACAAGAATATACTTACAGGAATAATTAACTTCTGACCCCCACGATAGAGTTCAAATTTCCAGGAAATACCCTGAAAATGTTAAAAAAGAATGTGAGCCAGCTTATACAACAAATATTGAACAAGCAGGGAAAATAACCAAAAAAAAA